GGCTAAGTATCCGCACATCGTATGCTTCATCCCATTTTCCAGTTTCCTGAAGACATGCCAATATCCAGCCTTCACCTTTACCAAGTATCAGAATAAGACTGGAGTTGGGAGACACATACAGAGCAGAGAAAAAAAGCCACCTCCAGCATAGAGGTTCAAAGCTGCTCTGCTGGACCACAACCCAGATAAGTGGGATAACCTATGGAAAGGGTACTCATTCTGTAGTATGACTAATATTTAAAGGGTGAGTGTCACGAGGATGGAGCCAGGCTCTTCTCGGTGACAAACAATGATAGGACAAGGGGTAATGGACACAAGCTGGAACACAGGAGGTTCCACTGAAATTTGAGAAGAAACTTCTTCTCAGTGAGGGTGACAGAGCACTGGAACAAGCTGCCCAGAGAGGTTGTGGAGTCTCCTTCGCTGGAGACATTCAAAACCCGCCTGGACGCCTTCCTGTGCAACCTCATCTAGGTGTTCCTGCTCCGGCAGGGGGATTGGACTAGATGATCTTTTGAGGTCCCTTCCAATCCCTAACGTTCTGTGATTCTGTGATTCTGTGATTCTGTGGTGAGGGTGGAAGGTGTCTCAAAGCAGCAGATACTGCCCTGAGATGAAGTATTAAGGATAGCAAAAGGCCCTTTTCTCCCTGACTTTGAGAAAGAATTTGGAGTTGGACACTGTGTGTTTGCCACCAAAGGGCATTGCATCCTTATGTGTAACAATTCGGCCACAGCTGATCCAGCCTTGGGGATGCTCTGCTGAGCAGCAGTGGCAGAGACACAGTCATTCACACTGGAAATCCAAAAGGGATTTCAAAAGCAGATGACTTTCCATGGTCCAGGAGTGGTACCTATATGACTATTCACCTGCCTTAAGAAAATGCTCCAGACCTCTGAATGCCTTGACCACAGATCTCACTTTTCCAGAAAGTTCTTCAGTTGCACAAACAACATTTTCCACTCCACTGATTGTTTTTTAAAACCAAGTCCTTCTATTTGTTATTCTTGGTTGTTTTTCTTTTCTCTTTATCTACCCTTAGCAACGCTACCTTCAAGTCTGTTTTCCTTGCCTACACTTTTTGAGCCACTTGTAACTTTTTAAAAAATATCTTTTTTTATAAACTTCAAGGTAGACTTTTCAAATAGTTTTGAAATTGTAGCCCCAAGACTTAGAGGACACATTTCCTGATACTCTTCTCAGTATGCCAAAATACAGAAATTATTAAATGTAAAGCACTGTCTGCATTTTTCGCAAGCTCTGATTATTTTAACCATTAAAAAAAAAAAAAGAGCTAAAGATATTTTCTCAGCATGTTTTTAAAAGCTTGGCAAAAGTTCTCAATATAATCATTGCTGTACCACAAATATTGTGTTACCTTACAGTACAGAAGAGTCCTCTCACCCGCCTTTCCTGCTTGAGCTCTTTGTTGGTCATTAATTGCCCATGATGAATAGTTGCTTCCGTTATCCAAAATACAGATCTGTTCTCACTAGACAATAGCCAGCTATGCTGGCAGATGGGTGCATTTTGGATTAGGTATTCTCTATTCTTACAGTTTTACCTAATGGAAATTTGTAACATGCAGTAATCTACTTGCCAAAAAAAAGGACAGAAGATTATGTAAGGAAAAATATTTACATTTTTAGAACAAACACGCTGCATACTCCTCTTTCAGCTTTTCCAGTTCTTGAAGTTTATTATTTTGGCACCCACACCACTACTAAAACCTATAAGGGAAGTTAAGTGTCTTAAAAAGATTCAGTAATTTAAATACTTCTCTGAATATTGTCTAGAATGTCTTATTCAGAACCAGTCAAAATAACTAAAGATATTTCCAGTCACTTGAGTAAAGTTTGGATCGAACTCTTCAGATGTGACTGTTTTGCTTGTTTTAGTATAAAACAGACCTCAATATCGAATAAGTTAAAGGACTTTCCTGCTTTTTCATTCTCCCTTTCTTCTCTCAGCCTTGCACCTACCATGGCTGGTTTTTGTGCTTCATTTGCTTATGTTTCCCTTTTTCCTTTTGGGCAATGAGAAAGTCATAGATTCAGCCCATTTTATTTCGGGTAATTAACAGAAGGTCCCAAGCCTGAAGCCTCATCATGCCAAAGAAGAGCTGGCTGTCTCTGGAGGACAATTCAAGGGATCTGAAGGCTGAAGTACCTCTCTTGAACTGTTCCTCTGTAAACTGGAGAGGAATCTGTGGAAATGTGTTCCTGACTTGGCCCCTCAGTGCAAGACCTACAGCTGGGCAGGATAAATCCAAGCTCAAATATGCAGTCCCACCCAGTATCCACTGGGGACACTGGATAGCCCCTGGCTCCATTAAACTGCTCCCACCTCAACTTTCCTGTAAAAAACAGCCCTCCAAGAGCACAAGAGGGCCAGAGCAGAGGACACAGTCATGCACATCCAAGCCCTCTTCCCAGCCTCGACAAACAAACAGCATTCCCTTTCTTTCTATTCTTTTTCGCTAGAGTGAATGTGCACCTTGTTTTCCACAAGAAGGGCAGGAAGATAAAGCAGCTGGCAGGGATGCCCGCTCTGTCCCTCCCCTCCTTGTCCTCAGGTTAAAGAGCATGACATAAAAGCAAACCTCCTTATCATCTATTTGTCAAAGGAGGCAGCGTGCTCTTGGTGCTGGGCTGTGGTTTCAGGATACGCCCCGTGGTGATCGGCTCTGCTCAAAGACAGAGTCAGATCCAGTTCCCCCCTCAACCCTCCAACCCTCCCCTCCCCAGACAGTCCCAGCTTCTCAGTGGGAATTGAATGGATATGCCTTCCCCTCTAGTTTATTCTTTCAAGGGAGGAAAACAGCTGCTGCCCTCCCCATCCCCTGGGAGGTCCTCCCACTGATCCTCCAGCCAGAACCTTTATAACTGGATGTGAAAGAGAAAATACAATTCAAACAAACAAACAAACAAACAAACAAATACTGAGTATTTGACAACAACAAGCACTGAGACCAGGACTTTTCACAGTGGTTAGGAATAATTTTATCCATTAACTTGTGCACAGAAAGTGTTACCAGATTTGTAAAATAGTCATGATGGAGACTTGCACTATCTGTTTTTGCCTACAGTGCGTTTGATGGCCTTGAAAACTATTTGATTGTATTTCAGAGGTGTTCCTGGAGGGGGAATAAGACTTCCATCCTAACATGCAGTTTTTGAGACTCATGAAGTAGTCTCCTAAGCTTCCTAAAATCAGTGATTGCACTTATCTTTCTTGATCTTTCCATTTGTCCCCATAGGCTCTTTTCTTCTCTGATGTGCTCCCAGTTAGATCTTTGCAGCTTGGACTGTTACTGACTGAGAAGGAAGAACAGCCTGGAATGATCTTCTACATCCCTTTTTCAAATGGACAGTTTCAGGGCTTTTGGATAGAGGAAGGAGCCAGCTGTGAGCATTTTGTGGCAAGCAATAGGGGAAGACCAAACACAAGTGCTACTGAAACCAGACCTCCTGAGTTTAATGGCAGTTGGACCTCTCGAGGAAACCACTTGGGCAGATACCCTGTCCCCTGTGGTTGAGCAGTTCCCTCTGCCAGTGGTTTCAGAGGAAAAGATCACATATCACGCACACAGTCAGAGACTTCTGGAGTTAATAAAATGGTTTGCTCTTCTTCCCCAGAATGTTTTGGATTATCCCATCAAAATTTCCAAAACAGTGACATGATGGAATACCTCTGGGCAGCAGGCTCCAGGGAGGCAAGTAGTCAGCCCACAGAGTAACATGAGTATAGATGACACTAAGCTGCTCAGGAATCACCTTCTTAATATCAGATTTTATTATGTTTGCAAAAAAAATGCCTCATTTTTTGAATTAGCTGCAGTGCTACAGCATGTAAAAACATTACTTTATTTGTTAATTTATTTTTTTGATTCTTTTTTCCTCTTTTGCCAGAATGATTTCTGAAGTGATACTGTATTTGCAACTTTCTTTCTCAAATATCCCTGCGACTTCAAATGGGTATAAATAAGCAAACTTCAGTCAGGAATTTTCTGCAAGAAAAGGACCATAGGAAAGATGTGAAATACTTGTTCTTAACAGGATCTGGTGAAGTAAGTTGACTAGAAGGGTATTTCCATTTATAGTCCTCTGTGTACTGCTGTGGCTGTAGGACTGCCTCTGACAGTGGGATGATTTCACGTTTGAAAGTTTATCTACCCTTTTTGCTCCAGTTATGGTACAACAACACAGTAAAATGTCAACATTTTGAGGAGGAGAAGTTGTGGCCAGGCAGTTTATATGCAGCTTGATAGTCAATGGCTGTGAGCCCCTGGCTGGTAGGGGGCTAAAACCTGCTTCCCAGTTAATTGTAGCTGCCTCACATCTTTCTCCAGTCTACATTTGAGAAGTCAGGGGTTTTCCAATTTTTGCACAGCAAGAGGAGGAACACACTGAAAGTGGGATTCCGTGACAGGCAGGACCTGAGCACTTTGCCAAATGCAACAGGTAATGCTCACACCTATGGTGGCAGGGTTTCTCTCACTACACATCTCTCTCACTGTTCCCATAGGTTTTCATTGCAGACATCATCAGGTTATACAAATCATTAATTAGATATTGAACCACAATAACACAAACAAAAACAGCACTGGTATATGCACATTAATCAGTGTATTAACTGAGACCTTCAAAGCCACGAAAAGGACTCAAACATGGAGCTGCCAGTGATTTCAATGTTAATTTGATGTCAAAAGGTACCTTTCAGCAATGTACAAAACTTAACATAAACAAAACTGATCATGACCACAACATCCTAAAGCTCCAGAAAGGGACTAGGGAGGAAGGACCATCCTTACGACATCAATTCACCCTGGTATCAGTCAGGACTCAATCCCCTGCTACAATAAGCAATTGGCTACCTGAGGTCACCATCACCACCAGCATCACCACCACACACTCCCCACTTCTATAGTGGATTACAGCTGTTACTCCAAAAAAATAAGCCCCAAAACCAAAAAGAAGTAATTAAAAGTTTCTACTTACAGAGTTGAGCCCCAGGAGGTTGTTGGGGAGAGAGGAGGTGACTCCCGACAGAATAGCTGTGGCCACAATTGCCCCAAGGCACTGGGCAATGATGTACATGATCGCCTTAAAGATGCTGATCTGGCAGCTCAGCAGGAGGCCCAGGGTCACAGCTGGGTTCAGGTGTGCACCACTGATGTGGCCCACGCTTTGTGCCATGGTAGCGATGGATAACCCAAAAGCCAGCGAGACCTTCACATTGTCCTGAGACCTCGTGGATGTTTTGTTACCCACCACTGGGAAGCTAAAGCCCAGAGCCGAGCCGATGCTGATAAAAATAAAAAGGGTCATGGCAAGGAACTCAGCCACCACTGCCCTCCAGAACATTTTCTTTTTGTATTCACTAGCCATCTTTCCTCTCTTTTTCTCTCTCCCCTCTCCTCACTTTCCCTTCTCCCTCTCTCCCTTCCCTTGCCTGATACTTTTCCTTCGAAGTCTGAAGTGAAATCTGGAGGAAAAATGCAGTCCTTGGATTATTTATAGGGCTTTGGGTGGTCTGTAGGAGGGAAGGGGTGTTGCACAAAAGGAGGAAAGAACATCTACATAGATGCTGACTGCTAGATTGATGTAAGACACTGCATGCCTGCCAAAGTTTTTTTTCTCCCTTTTTTTTTCTTTCCCCTCCCTTAACAGCGTTCGATCTCTGCTGCCGTTTTTAAGAGGCTTTTTAAAATCCTTCGAAAAGTCTTTAGGAGTCCCTCAGGAATTTTACCCTCACTTCTTTACCTCCCGGATCACCATTCAGCACATGGATTGGAGCGAAAACTTTCATGGGGTTTCTGCCTTGAGCTGGACTGAAACAAAAAGCAGTTATCTGGTGCAGGCTGGTAAGTTATCCACGCTTAGCTTCACCAGCAGCAGATGACATCTGAAAGTAGTAAATAAAACTGGCAATTAAATCCACACTCTCGAGACTTGGGTGCCTCCGTTTCATTTGAAATTAGGTAGAAATGTCTCTTCTGCCGGCTCTGTGGAGGCTTGGACTTGTTTCAGATGCCAAGTTTGACGGCTGTACAGACAGACGCCTGTATTTACACAGGCTCACACACACTGGTGTTAACTGGTGAAAGGTAGAGATCAGTTTTAATCTCCATGACCACTATGCAAATCTGACACAACGCTGCAAGTAAGCTGGAAGCTTTACATGGATGCATTTTGGATGGTAAGGGGCAGATGATTTGGTGCTGTTTAGGTGGGTTTTTAAAAATTTTTCAAAGTTTACTTAATTTCTCCAGTTTTTTTCTATCAAGCACAGATATATCTCAGTGTTTTGCCAGGCTTGCTCTCCTGCACTCCTCCTGACCGGCAGGAAAAAAGCCAATTCGGGGCTTCCTAGCCCCTGTCCTGTGTTGAAAGCGTCTCTGATGCTGATTGCTAAGGGTGGCTGTCCTAGCTGTCACCAGGGAGCCTGGCTGCTGCCGCTGAGCCACAGGACCAGCCGGAGATGGAGACAGAGGGGGACAGCGAGGAAGAAGGGAAATTACATGCTTGATTTTGCAGACAAAATGAATCCCTCGGCAGTGCCAGAGTGTCTTTTGGAGCAAAAGGTCGAACTGACTCTGGTTATATCACAGCAGGACGTGTATACATGCCTCAGATTAACCCCTGTGTTATCGGATCTCTGCCTGCTTTAACAGCTGGTGGTGCCTTCTTCTTTAAACCTGGGGATCTGCGCTTACTTCGAACTACGCAAAATCTGATCCAGAGACAGAAACTGACTCCCCAGGCACAAGTCTTGAAAGATGGGTATTTAAAATCAGCTTACTTCTCCACCTCCTCTTTTTTCTTCCTCTTCTTACTTTGATGTACTAGTGTCAACTTCTAAATTGTACTTAAATTAATTCAAGGCTTTTTTACTTGAACAATATGTCAATATGAAGATAAAATCAAATACACACCTGGATAGCATTAAGCAGTCAAGAAGGGTTTTTAAAATATATTTGGCTCTCAAAAAATGATTCAGATACAAAGCAGAAGACTGATTAAATAAAAATCCAGATGTCTCCAGACTTTTTCTTTCTAGACATCAGATGTTCTTGATTTTCCATATAACCAATTTTATTTCCTTCTGTTTTATAATACACTTACACAACTGAAATGTACCAGTGGAAAAAAAGGAAAAAGCAAAGCAATGGGAACAAATTAATTATTGGGTTTACCTTTCTAATTACAGTGGGACTTCAATGAGGAATAATTTGACAGACAAATCAAAGATCAGATTTAGCCAAACATGGTAGGTGGTGCAATCTGTAATATAAGATACAGTCAATGCTAGTTATACTCTGTTCAGTGAAACTTTTTATTTAGTGCAAACATTCTCTGAGCCTTGAAGACCAAAAGTGACCAACTTCTTTGGTCCTACCAAGCAGATGCCCAAGACACAGGGCACATACCACACATCTCAGGAAACGGGAAAGCAGAGCTCTATGAATAGTTTACAGGAGTTTCCATGTGTCCCAGATTGGCACCTGTGGGAGGGAGCTGCCTAGGTATTCAGTTGTGTACACAGGAAATTCCCTCTTTACTCATTTCTTCCTACAATTAGGACCTAGATGACCAAACAACTCCTGTACCAGTACTGATAATGTGAGAAGGTATCCCTCAGAGGAAAACTTCTAGAAGCCAGGATAATAGGCTGGAGAAGTATTGCAAAATGGTTCCCTGATTTCTACCAGCTACCCCGACTGGCCTGTGCCAGAGACAGGGTACCAGGTTAGCAAGACCTTTAGTCTGACCAGTGAAACAGCCTTGGCATAATTAAACATGCCTTGAGAGCAGAATGTTGGTCACCCCCATTGAAAGATAATTAGCACACTTATATATTAATCCTGGGAGTTGCCACCTCTCATTTTTGAACTAGATGCCACTAGAAGGCAATAAATCAATAAAATTATCATGCAGACAGAAAAAAAAGAAACCAACAAAAAAAAATCAACTGAAAAATTAAAGGCAAAACCTATTACATATAAACAGGTAAAATACACATCTAAAAGAGATGTGTGGAGCTATTAGCCGTTCTTACCCATCTACAGACTGATATGGTTAAAATCATGATCACCCCTGCTGTGTTGTTATGGTGATGATACCCAGAGACCCCATGCCTTCAGTGCTGCTCAAAGAGAGACAGCAGGGACAGCCTTGTTCTGTGTGTAGAAGAATCACCAAGTGGGGAAACGTCAGGAGATGACAATAAAAGAACAAATATTCTGCACAAGAGGTAGAAGAAATTGGCAGATTGGACAAATTCGATCAACAGTATAAGCATAATGAGGAAAGGGGAGAAAGAAGGTGTGAGTGGAGCAGCAGCACGTCAGCTGAACATCTTCAGAAAGGTCGCCCACAATGCAGACCTAATTGGTGCCCAGCTCATCATGTCACTTTTCCACAAAATCAGCTCCATCGCACTTTACTCAGGTTGATGGCAAACACCGCTGCACTTGGCCAAGTGATCCGAGGCCTCTATACCCAGTACCCATAAATCACCATGAACCAAAAAATGGCAAATTCCAGTGTCCTAAATATCAAATAAGCTAGGTTTTTCTGCAGACTGGTTTTCTTGGCATGGTTTTATATTATGCACCAAATCACACTGGAAGGTGGGGTTTGGTTTTTCTGGAATTATGCATCTAGAAATAGAGAGAGATGATTGTCAACCTTATGTAAGTGTTTATGACAGGCAATGAAGAACTTATCTGATGGGAGCAAAAGTGAAAAAGTGGCTTTTGAGCTGAGAGGTGATTCTTCACAGATGGTTTAAACCAGTGTACTCTCAACAATTCTCTAATCTGGTTACAGTAGAGACAGTTGAGTGAAAAATCAAGTTCACAGTACTGGATATTTAATTGCCAAGATCCCAGGGCCAGTTCATTTTTTTTGGTCTGAAACAAGTCAAGTTTTGAAGCGCTGTAGCACAGTCCTCATTTAACATTTCAGTCCGAAAACAAATGTACTTGTTGGTTAAGTGGTAGGGTTTGTTCTGTGCTCCCATGTGTCAAATTGCCCAGAATCTCTCTACTATTTGAACAAGAAACTAATGCCAGCGACTACAAATATGGTCTTGGCTAACATGACTTCTCTGGGAATTTTCCACTTAGGTGAAGGAACAGTCAACATCAAAAGGCAGAGTGTATAGAAGTTGGTCCAGCGAACAAATGGTTGGAGGAACCAGGGGAACTTCAGCAAATTTAAATTATTCTTCTCTTGAGAAGAATTAGTTATCCTGTGACCCTTCTAGCCAAATCTTTTAGAAGACAAGTGATGATTGGTAACAAAACTATATTACTCACAGTTTCAGAGACAACAGCGATTCCTACTTTCTGCCCATAGAATTTAACCCCTCTGAGGCATCACTGACTTTCTCACCACCACGGTAAAAAGCCAAGCCATGCAGCAGAGAAGACCTAGAGGATCCATTTATTCACACCCCAACATCTTAGGAAAGACACCTGGAATGACAATGTTTTCCCATGTATTCTGTTCAGTGCTGTTCTTACAGAAAGTTGGAGTTCAGGTGTGGGGTTTCCTGTAAAAGTATCACTACTAGTTTAAAAAAATTTATATCAATATTCAGGAGCTGTTTCCTGGTCTTGGTTCACTTTTTGACTATAAGAAGAACCTGTCCAATTTTCTAACGGGAAAACTACAAGGTTGCAGTTGAGACAATGTAAAGACACTTGGGAATTTCTCTGCAAGAGAGGTGCCTGAGCACAATTGACACCCGACAGCATCAGTAAGGTGTCCAAGAACAGGGAGGGGTTTTAGACTGAATCCTTGGCTTAATGATCCCAAATCCAGGAAAGATAGAAGATAACAGACGCATCCTCCTCTTTAGCATTTGCCATCAGCCAGTCTAAGCACCCACTTGCTCCATATGCCGACTACTGAAAAATTCCTCCATAGCTACTCAGCTGACTTTTTTCCCTGTATGGTAAATTCAGAGCCTGTAATATCTTCTTATGGAGCTGGACACTTAAATCCCTTTGTGAGGTTGAACCTGAATTCTCAGAAACTCATCCAGAAGGATCAGTAGTTATTTATGTTATTTATCAACCACATGAATCACTTGCTGGGGTGGGAGCTGAGATGGTGTGTCATTCTGTAATGAGCAATATTGAAAGGCATAAATTTCACATGAATAATTTTCATTTGGGTATTTCATGATTCAGTGAAATCAAAGCAGGTTCTAAAGATTGATCAAATTTTTCATTTTCTTAGGAAATAAAAGGTTGTACATTCCTCCATGTTCATCTAGTTAACATAATTATCTTTTGACTGATTTTCTTTTTTTTTAATTTTAATCTTCACTACATAAGGATATGTGGGCTTCCTTACTACAGCACTTCCCTGATTCTGCCCTTCATTTTATTTTTTCTTTCATTATTTCCCTCCTGTCTATACTAAGACAATAGAAGAGAAAAGTTTATCAATGAATGTACGATGCTACAAAATCT